ACTTCTTCGCCCTTTCGCTCAACACTAATGACTCGATGAACGCCTTTCCGGCCGCCGATCGCCACTTCATATACGGGTTGTGTTCGCCTTTGAAACGCAGGTCAACGGTCTTCACGTCATCGACGGTGCGGTAGTTCAGCGGAAATGGCAAACCAATCACAGCACCGGACGGCAGACCTAATGTGCCGATAGTTAGCGGCTATAAAAACACATGCAATCGGTTAACAATGTCTTCAATACAAATAGTAGATAATCCTTACATCGCATCCGACAGACGGGAAGAATTGCAACGATTCCGGACTCTTGTCCACAGATTGTTGACACTCTGTCCACACGTTTGCGGCGAATAACTCGAGGTCTTTGTCGAGTTGTGACAATTGACCGGATCTGTTGACAGAGAGTGTGGCAATTGGTATGAATTAATGGCCAAAAGAGATGATAATCAAGTGTTGATCACTTACTTATATGAGTGGACAACAGATTTGTATTGATTGATGAATAGTGTATTGTATGTGAAGTACAGACCAGTCGTGAGACCAGTTGTGGACAACAGTATAACTCTATAGTAGTATTGCTTTCGTTTTTGTGACATTAGTTTCAGACCAAACGCCCACTCATTGTATGTGTTATGCAATGCATTCACACTATTCTTCACGTGAAGAAAGCCATTCATTAATAGTTTACTCATTGTTTTGGCGATTCATTCATTAAATTCATTCAAACACTCATTCATTCAAAGCATTTGTTTATTTACTTTTTCAGTGCAAACATGTGTTTGTATTGCAGCACAAAAAAGTTGTCCCAATATATGAGCGCTTATTTCAAACTTCAAACTTCTGTTAACACAAGTTATTCACAATAAAAAAAAACTTTTACTCTAATAATCTGTAAATGTGTTAAACAATAGGACTTTATTTTATTTAAAAATTTTAAAACTTTAACAAAAAAAACTTTTAAAAAATTGAAGTCAATGTTTGAAGAATCATTAAAATTAGATACATATCAAAGACAAACAAATTAGACAAAAACAATGAGTGGCTATTCGGGTGCCGGACGGGCCGTCCCCCTAACCCAAGCACCGCTCAAATTGCGGATTAAGACCCCATTCACGTGT